TTATGTCGAAACAATAAAGTATGCCTGTATTAAATAAAATATTACCTTGCTATTGTCTTGAGTATTTGGTTTCCCTTGTGTATYGTTACTAAAGCCGTTCCAGTTSAGTGATGACTAACATTCACTAAATAAAAACTATTAGSTAGTAACCATTTAGATTCTATTTCATGGACATAGTGTAAGCACAAAAATAGTCATATATATAATTGCACAAAAGCTATTAGCCCTTATTTCAAAGCCGAGTGGTAGTGATAAAAAATGCATAGTAAGAAATACCCATTAAAAATATGAGCTCCACCCATTGTTACATCATATTGCCAAACCTATGCTAAGTGCTTTTATCATAAAGCATTTTAACTCCCATGATGGACAGTTATCAGAGTCGTAATTAAGATTTTTGTTCTCTTTATCACTATTGAAAGATTAGGAATTCAACCAATCCCGTTATCAGAATTGTCACACTGCAGGATGTTCAGTTTGCATCATAAACACCTAAAACGCTATAAATGATAGCGGTAATCATAGGCAGTCATGTAGGCCAAGACAAAACAGTATTTAGAACTGGCGGCAGGTTATGACTCAGGATGGACGATGACTACCGGATTTGCCTAATTTATCTTACTTCTATTACCTTTTTTGCTTCACAGTCTTATTTCTGCCATTAGGGACCTTAAGATCCAGGACGGTAACGAGGACGACGGCGTACCGGAAGGGATATTTAGCTATTGTGAATGCGCACTGAGTCAAATGACGTAAATTCTTGTTTCCCCCGTCGTCGCATCGGCAACGGCAATCCTGGTGTTTTGGAGTTGTGGCAACAACGCCAGTAGTTTTCAAACCTCTTTTCATCGTAAATAATCAAAAAGCCATTCGAAAATGTCTTCATCATCGGCAKTCAGCCGTCCAAAATCCTCGTAGGTATCGGTTTTTTTTTTGTTTTTTTTTGGTTTTATCTTACTGGCCAAATGAATTGTAAAGTCAGTTTTCTATGACAARTAAGACTTAATTATTTGTTTGGTGTGGTGTTACTATACGTCAGTAAAAGTCACAATAGGCTAGAATGTGTGTGGTTTTGTTTTATATATGTAAACAGATTACAATGGGTTGTGTTATCGTATTCGTATAAAGCTTATATTAAAAAAACAAAAGTTTAATAATGTCTTAAAAGAAGACGCTGTTCCATCCATCCACAAGAAACAAGACGAAGAACCAAGCAAGTCATCAATGCTTCTAGTAGCTCCACGAGAGGGCATCGCCAGGTAAGTATGTCATGTTCTTTTTTGCTTAACTYGATCTGTTTTCAGCTCACAAGTTTTGTAATTATTGTCCAAGTAGATCGTAAGATATTGCTGAAGGAAACAATTGATCGAAATAACCATGTGCCGGGTACTGAGCAAGACCCACGAYGACGCCAGAAGACAATACAACAACATGTTGCTCTAGTAACAGTGAACCAGCCGACTTATCTACTCCTGTAGAACAGCCTGTAAGTCCGTTTGTTGCAAATAAAGTATTAGTTCTCAGGATCAAAACTTGTTTACCGATCCTAAAAACATAATTTTTCTTCCTTTGTAGTTTCATGATGCTTCCTGTCAAACACCAGAGTGTTTGGGCTGCAAGAAATTGTCCAGTCATAATCGGCAGCTCCGAAACAAGATCATCGACCTAAAAAAGAAAATAGAAGAWCAGCAAACTAAAATTCGGGAGCTAAAAGGTTTGAAACTTATGTCCATAGTATTATTATTTTGTCTCGGTATTGAAGCAAGGTTTTATTMACATACACAGTACCTGTAACTGAAAGTTCTGGCATGACAGCCACTTCAGAGAACGTGACCACCGAGGAACCTGTTCATGATGAAACCATAGCCGTGGAGAGTGAGGGCGAGGACGATGATATGATTCTCGAAGAAGAACCACAGATTTCTTCTCCAGAGTATAAWTTGTTCTCGGAAACCGAAACTGAAACGGAGACAGATATGGCGGATGCAGAAACAACTCAAGAYGATGAAAARCCACAAGTCATAAAGTAAGTTAGGTTCACCAACGAGAAAATAGAAAAGAGCAAAAAGAAAATAGCTATTTGATATTATGTGCCTAATATGTGTTCTTAGGTGTAMCACTCTACACAATCTGTTTCCAGAAAAGGATTTGTGCTCTTCGTAATAACTATTTCGAGAGCTATAATAAACTCTTGAATGAACGTATTTGTAAAGCCTGGCCAACATATATTAATTTTGTATTCACTTATGTTATAGAACCAAGGATTCTGACAATTTGAGATCACAGCCAAAGTTTATAGTGTTCCTGTCTAGGCTGCTCCTGCTTTTCAATATATGCCCTGCATGCAAGACTGAGAAGCCCTTCGTAGAGTCCACTGCCCTTGGAACAATGGTCCAGATTACCACCATATGTGTCAACCCCCATTATCCATCACCAAGGAATACCTGGGAAAGCCAGCCTAACATGACAGCAACCAAGATGTCAGCCATGAATTTCTTGCTTTGCTTTTCGATCTTGGTTTCAGGGGCCTCTCCATCAAAAGTCATTCAAGTCTATAAGAACATGGGCCTGGCTTGCATTACCCTAAAGACTTACATCAAGCACCAAGCTGTGAGTACATGTACGTGTGACTGTATTTTGTCTGGGTATTGCCTTTCTAAGTGCATATTAGAAAATAATGCTAATGCGAATAAGTACATAACTTCTAACAGCTGCTWCTAATTACTACTACTGCTACTACTAACTAGTTATGCTCACATATGTAATTACATAATATAAATAACCAATTTGAAAGCTTCTTTCACTTTYTTTGACAGACGAAATTGTTTCCCACAATCCATTTGTACTGGGAAAAATATCAGCAAGACATGTTCGCCAAGCTGAAAGAAACAGGGCAGCCATTTRTTATTGCTGGAGATGGGCGCCACGATAGTATGGGCCATAGTGCCAAGTACTGTGCATATACCATTTTCTGTTGTACTGTTCCCCTTATGTTTGACTTCTCATTAACTCAGGTACTAAATGATTATGCATAAAAACAATAATAATTTGCAAACATTCCAGAAATTTAGTTATTCAATTGCATTCAGGTTTTTTCGTAAGTGGAACAAGGGACTGTCCACACACAGGGGTGGGGAGGGCCTTAAAAAGAGGTATRCTTGTAACAAAAAACCTTGGTAATGTTGGCTAACAAATTCAGGGACTTCTTTTGTCTTAAGGTGGATGGTTCTTCTTTTTTTCCTTGATAATTTGTCTGTTCCTTACACTTTTTTGTTTTTATATTAGAGAAATGTTGCAGGTAACAGCCAAGCAATGGAGCCCCTTGCATTTAGAAAATGCATGGAAAGCCTTGTGGCATCTGGACTTGCTTTCGAAACCTTTATCACAGATCGCCATACGTCCATTGCAAAATTCATGAGGAAAATTTTAAGAACATCAAACACTTCTTTGATCTGTGGCATCTGCAAAAGAGTTGAGTATTTGGAATCATATTAAAAGGAATATTGCTTAATGTTTGCCAGCATGTCAAAGCAGAGTTCAAAACAAAGYTATGAGAAAGGATTTACAGTTATTATGCATCTATTATGCAATTTTATCTTGTTCCAAATATCATAAAACTTATTGCTATTTTTATTTTCTTTAGAGGTACACAAAGTCCTAACTAAGATCAGCAAGGAGAAAGATGGGGAATGTCTGTCCGACTGGATCAAGCCTTGCGAAAATCACCTGCTGTGGAGTRCCACGTCCACGCMATCTGGAGATGGGGAATTGATATGGGCCAAATTTGTTTCATTTTTGTCCCATATCATCAACAAGCATTCTGACCTAGAAAATGACAAATTTAATGAGTGTGCACATGAGGAGCTAATAGGGGATAGAAGATGGCTTGAAGAGGTATGTATGTGATTGCTAATTAAAGCAAAACCAGGGTTATTCATGGTGAGTTCAAAGAGAATGCTTTCTCCCTTTAACCCAATAAAACGTTTGCCTATATCACTACTCCATTTTCAAAGGTCTTTGAATGAATTTCAAAATGTCCTCAACAATCTTGTAATATTATTTTTGCTGATGCAATGTCTTTTTCTGTAGATACACMRGTTTACGACAAAGTGTGTTTYGTCTTAACGAAACCCTCAATGATGAAGGGCATCAAGAAGGCATCACCATTGGCCCAGACAAGTTGTTTAGAGGGTTTTCACTCTGTTGTAAACCAGTATGCACCAAAAATGACAGCCTACTCTTATCAAGGGATGTACTGCAGGTAAATCATCAATGAATTATACATTTCTAAGTAAGGTACTCTGGGTACTTTGTGTGCCCTTGGAGTTAATGATCATGACATAATGAATATAAATATGTCTGTACAATGCATAGTGCAAATAAAGTCAAGCTCGCAATCATAATGTAAGGCACAAAAGTGTGACTGGTGACAGCGTATTTGCATGCTTTTTCATCTGGGTGAATATCCAATCAGCATCAGAAAAACAATAAAACCATGCTAATACAACAGTGGTCACACTTTAGAGCCTAGCACTTGTAAAAGCAGTCAATACAAAGTACATTAAAGTTAATTTTTTTAAATCTTGAAATTGTTTTTTCCAGGCACATAATTGCAGCTGTCCATTTAAACTACAACTTTCAACGTGATGTCCGACACAGCGAAGATGGGACAGAACAAGTTAGGATAGTTTATCCCAAATTCAAAAACGGCGAAAAAACTGTTCGCAGTGTTAGAGTAAAGCCAAATCATAGTATAAAGACGGTATACCTACTAGCTCTGAAATATTTGACCTTAACTTACTGTAGTATTATGCATGTTATCTATGTATTATGTTATGTTATTTACCTATTAGGTTACCAGTGGTATAAGCTGCAAAGCTTCATGGGATACGTTCTGGTAAGAGACGCCATCTTGATTAAAGGCTTGTTGTTCACTCGCTAGTCTTTTAGTTTACATAATATTACATGGTGGCAGCGGGTTCTCGAACCTCAAAATCATAATGCCAGAGACAGATGAACAAGCGACATCGCATCCTCGTCCTCCAATGGCAAATACTATTCCTCCACCAGAGAAATTCTCCGGAGCAAACTCACCACAACAATCGGATTTGTGGCAAAAATGGCTTCGCCGTTTTGAAAGATATCGCCTCGCCTCTGGCCTCAAACATAAACCCGACATCGAGCAAGTGAGTACTTTGTTATATTCAATGGGTGAATGTGCCGATGATATCCTTCAAACGATCAATATTGATGAAGAGAAAGCGACTTACGAAGAAGTCAAAACTGCCCTCAACAAATATTACGAAGTCCGTCGTAACGTGCTTGTCGAGCGTGCGAAATTCAACAAACGAGTCCAGCAGCAAGGAGAGTCTATTGACACATTCATACAGGATTTATACAAGCTAGCTGATGACTGTGAGTATGGTACACTAAAGAAAGAGCTTATTCGTGATCGAATTATTGTTGGTGTGATCGACGACACACTCTCTGACCGACTTCAAGCCAAGACAAAGCTAACCTTAGAAGAAACTGTACAACTAAGTAGACAGGCAGAGGCAAGAAAACAAAGCAAAGAAGTTGTACGTGGAAATACACAGCCTAGCACTGGCAATAACACTGTCAACTATATTAAACGTCCTACTCAAAACAACAGACCAAATCCTAGAAACGAAGCAAAAGGTGAAACTAAGCAGTCCAAGAAAACCGCCCCACCTTCCTCATGTTGTCCATGGTGTGGTAACCGTCAGCGCCATGACCGTAAACAGTGTCCAGCTAAAGATGCTGCATGCTTAAAATGCAAGAAAAGGGGACATTTCCAGTCAGTCTGCCGCAGCCAAAGCAATCCAAAACCAAAAGTGAATGAAATCGAAGATGATGATTCAGATATGCCCTTTCTAGGAGAAGTACTAGGAGAAATAAAAGGTGGAGAAAATTCCTGGATTGTTCAAGTGGGAATAAATAACGTCACTCGTTGCAAGTTGGACACAGGAGCAGCAGTCTCTGTCGTCAGTGATTCATTACCTTGGATAAAGCAACAGCCATTGGAGCCTGTGAGACAATCGCTCATGGGTCCAGGGGGGACACGCCTTACTGTTGTTGGATCCTTCCTAGCAACTATCAAGTACAGACAAAGCAAGATACAAGAGCGAGTCTATGTCATAAAGAACCAGTCGTGCTCTCTCCTCAGCAGACAGGCTTGTGTAAACCTCGGTCTTATCAGACGACTAGATGTGGAAGTTGAAGAGCTGAACACAGAAGCGCCTAACTTTAGAGCTGAATTCCCTCAACTATTCACAGGCCTGGGTAAACTCCAGACCGAATGTCACATCACTCTTCAAGATGATACAAAACCATTCTGCCTGTATATATGGAAAGCCATGACTGTCTTCGTTGGTTATTTTTTCAGTTAGATGGTGCATATGTACTGATGTATGGTACTTGTGTGGGTGTCCAGGGTAGTTCTTTTATTGTGTGTGGTGAATTTCATATGATATCCGGTAATTTTTACGTCATATGCGATACCTGATACTTTGTATTGAGTGCCAGTATCCATTTCTACCGTGCAATTTCAACGTTTTAGGGTTTTTATTTAGTTGTATTTGGTGCCTTCAACATTTAATTTAGGTGGTCAAGNATTTTGGTGATAGAAGTAATGGCAGAGCTAGTTCGAAGTAATTGTGATATACATGGAGTTAAGTTACAGAGGAATTCACTGGAAGAGATAAAATTGGCTTTGTTTGCAGACGATGCATCCTTTACATTAAAGGATATTCCATCGCTAAAAAATACCCTGGAAATATTAAACCATTTTGGAAAATTTTCTTCTTTCGAATTAAATCTAGAAAAATCAGAAGTAGGATGGATTGGTCAAGTGAAAGATATTGATTTGCTGCCCTCTACAATAGAAAAGAAGGTAAACTTACATAATGAAGGTATAWAAATCTTGGGCGTATATTTTTCTCACAACCAGGAATGGATGGAAGTAAATAACTTTGATAGAGGTTTTGAAAAATTTAAAGCTACACTAAATATGAGACAAAGAAATTTAACTGTATATGGTAAGGCGACACGGCTAAAAAACCGCTGATTGGCTAATTTAATTCTCAACTAAGAGTGCGCAATATGGTTTACCGCTGAATTTATCGCAGGCGCCCTGACAAAATGGCGGACGAGGAAGGGATTCCTGTCGAGCATTTTTCCTTCCGAAAATCGCAGTTTTTATCTCAAAGACCTTGATTATATGCCATAGTTTATCAAGAAAACGACACAGATGAGAAACACGATGTCCGGTAAATGGTAAATTGTCAAGTTTTTAGTCTAATTYGGACAAAATCAAGTCATCGAGTWAGCTTACTTGGATAAAAAGACAGAGAAGGAATATGATTATTGTTTTCCTGTTCCAAGTCTATTTCAAGATTCTGAACTTGAAAAGCTCATCGATTGTCAAATTAATCAAGTAAATATAGTCATGAATGCTGTAAATTTTAAAAATCGCAATAAAAGCTATAGATGAACAAGCTTTACTCCGATCATGATGTAAAATACGTTACTTATAAATTCTGGAACTCGCAAATTTTAGACAAATTTCAATAACGTGAGGCAACACCCTAGATATGCCTTCGTTTGGGGATTTCACAGACAAAAAACACAACAACAACAACGTAAAAAGCAGAAGAAAAGAAAAAAGGAAAACAAATTACTCGGCAACCACTTATTATTAAGAAGATTTTGAATACAGACTGAAGTTGCTTTAAAAGGCTAGTTTAATCACCTCCTGGTTTACAATTAAATATTTTCATCRCTATTTAAAGGAATTAAATGCAAATTAGAGTGTATATTAGATTCTCTCTATTCATATTACTTTCATTTCAGTTCAATAATTCATCATATTATTATAAATAAAAAAAATCATAATATCATAATAATACTGATTATGTCTAGTGTGGAAGTACACTCCTTTGATTAAAAAGAGAAAATATTTTTTCAAGTGCTATATCTGTAAAGTGGAAGTAAGGTTGTGTATAACAGTGAGCTATTGAATTGTATAGTTTGGCTAAGGTCTTGTTCTSTTTTAAACCTCACAGGTGAATACCAAAACCAAAGGYTGTCTTTTAAAAGTGCTTCCAAAGTTAATGTGGCATTTATAGTCAATGTCAAAAATGATTTTTCCCCTCAATTTCTAGCTTTTCAAGGTTTTTCTAGTGATATCCCAAACCTGCTATATATACATAATAATGTATTTCTCTATATAGGTACTTTGCAGCACTGTAAATAGAAAAGTCTTTCTGAATTATTTTTGTATTTAGTCATTATGTGTAAAAGCCTTCATTATTTAGACAGCAGAAGCCTTGCCATGTGCTGATTCGTAAGGCTCACTTCATGGAAGCTAAAAGAAGGCCTGCATCCCATAATCTMCGCTTGGTATGGAAAACACCTACAGGAGAAAGAATGGATACCCATACCCCTATTGAAGTTCTTCGAAGAACGTAAACTTCTCAAATACACAGCCCACAAAGCCATACTTTGCCACAGCAGTTACACCAAATGGTTACCGGAAGACAACCCCACGGCGAGGATAGTGATAGGGAAGTTCACCCAAGGAGCAAAAGAAAGTGAAAAGCATATGCAGCGCCGCCTAATAACAGACGAAGGCAAGCTAAGTTTCCTCATAAAGCGCGCACATGAGCAAGGCACCATAGTATCCACGAAGAAATGGGATTACTTCGAAGAAGGCAAAGGAGAGCATAAATGGAATAYGCTTTGTTACYATCAAGACCATCGTCCGCAGTATTATCATCTACGCGCCAGCATGCTCGCCTACGCGCATATCAGCCTCTTAGCCATGCTTCTGAGAYTCGACAAAGAGGACGTTCCGCGCGTAGCTACGGATTCCTTGTACATCAAACCGCACAAATTAGAAAAGATAAAGGAATTCTACACYRAAGACGAGATAGCAGAAAGCGGGCAATGGCGCGTCAAAGACGAAGAAATTAAAGCCTGGCGGGAAAGGGTAGAATATCACGGAAAGCATACCCAAGGCCGCGCAGAAACAAGGAACCACTACCCTCGGTTGCAGACCCCATTTCTTACAAAYGCTTCTCTTACCTCTACGGTAGGGGCGGCAGCGGCAAGACAACCCGCGTACTTAATCTCTTCCCAAGCCTAAAAGYGTTCTTCAATAACTAGTTATATACCAAATGTTTATTATCGCATTTACATGTACCTGGAACTGAAAACATGGACTACCCTTTCTCACATAACGACCACCAGATAAACTCTGACGTTGCAAATAACTCGTCTTGTGCCGTGAATGAACATGGTTTTCTACAACAACGAAAGACCCAACACCAAGAAGTGCTAATTACACACCTCAACATCAACAGTATTCAAAACAAATTCGATAAATTTCAACTATTAAACATCGTTCTGCAATCTCAGGYTATGTGAAACTAAAATTGATTCATCCTATAAAAATGATCAATTTCAAATACATGGATACCAAATGTACAGAAACGATAGAAGGAAAGGTGGTGGTGGGTTATGTTCAGGATTATGTTTCAAAATTGACAAAATAGACAACACAACCATGTGAAGTTCTGAATTGATTTATCCTATCTCTAAAACCAATTCTCCTCTGCCACTACATGAAGAAGAAATACTCATGATCTGGTTGATTGAAAAACTTAATGCACTTGGTGGAAGAGTCAATAAGGTGAATTGTGCTGATCTGTATATTCGTTTGTAAGAATACGTTTGATAATATGGTATATATTTCATATTTCGGCAAACAACTAACTGGCTCTCATTATTACCCCCCTTAATCACATGCATGGCAATTTCCAGAATTTTTATCTATAGAATAACAATTCGTAATAATTAATGATTTATAAGTTTTCYTAAGTTCAAACAACGCTTTACATTCAATATTTTAACAATATTAACAATTTTAACAATATGAATATCAACATTCAATAAACAATACATATTTATAAGTCATCATAATTCATTAAATAAATTCATTAAAAATAAGAAAAAGTGAAAATAGAAATTTTATTTTAGTGGAAATAACAAGAGTGAATGATTAAAGGTAAAAGAAGTTTTCGAGGAAGAAGGTGAACAATTCAACTTTATCATGGTTTATTACCTTGCTTTTATTGTAAATACCCATTCTGGAAATTTACAAAAATTGAAAACAAATGAAAATAACGTAGACTTCAAGAGAACCAGAAATCGCAGAAACTAATGAATGAGCTGCCCAAAAGTATGTGGAAAACAATCCTTGCCATAAGGAAATGCGAGTAATATATGTTGGGCAACATGAACAGTAGCCAATTAAACCAGAGTAAAAGCCCAAGAAGGAGAATATAGAGAATATTTCATGGGTAAAGCCAACATAAACACATGATAGCTTCAGATAAAATGAGGTAGGCCATGGTAAGTAGAAAGTGCACCGAAGACGTACAAGAAGTAGCTACAAGTATGGAATTTATGTGAAAGTACCCACGGTTGAAATCCAACAGGCAAAGTTAAAATATCTTGAAAACGAAATATATGATAGTAGGARGCAAATTGAGTCATTGCATACGATTTATGGAGCGTTGCACTCGTACTAGCCTATTGCAATGTTTATGTATTATGAAATGTTCATTTGTCAACTAGAATTAGGKTTTTTTTAATTGTTATCGTGATTTATACTAAGTAGCCTTATGCTGCTCTTTTCATTTTACGTGCATCTTTGAATTAATGAAAGAATAAAGCCACAAGCTCGAAATTGATCTTGTTCAGTGTTGGTATAAATCGTAACCRTAAGATACACCTCACACGTTTGCCCTCGCTTCAAATACACTCACAGTAAACAAGAAATTTTAGTCCATGCATTTGTTTCTTCCAAGATTGATAATTATAATAGYCTTCTGTATGGCCTTCCCAAATGTTTAACATCAAAAATCCAATCAGTACAAAACGCTTCTGCTAGACTCCTAACCTTATCCCGAAAATCTGATCACGTCACGCCTATCCTCATCAACTTACACTGGCTACCTGTATCTGAGCGAATTCAATTCAAGATTCTTCTCCTTACATTCAGAGCAATACCCCATTTGGCTCCATCCTACATTTCTGACATTACTCCACTTTATAAACCACCAAGATTACTTCGATCTTCTCCTGGCGTCTTATTAAAACAGAATAACTACAATCTGAAAACATATGGTCATCTTTCCTCTGTCAGTGCTCCTGAACTATGGAACTCTCTGCCGCCTYCGTTAAGAAACCCTTTAGATCTCACCTCTTTTAAATCATCTTTAAAAACATTTCTTTTTTAAGCAAGCTTCCGATTTGTAAATTATTCTTTTAGACATATTTTTCATTTTTTATTTCTTCTTTTTCCAATATATAACAGCATACATATATAAGCGTATAGATCAGGATTAAGTATATGCGGCTATACAAGCATATTATTATATTATATAATAAAATCAAAAAGAAACAAAAAGCATCATTACTACATTCAGTACAGTCAATTAAAAAAATCAAAATACATTTAAAGCCTGTGCATCAAGAGTGGCATGGAATGTGGTGCCCTTTCTTTAGCTATTGCACCTGCTCAGTACAAAGAAATTGATCCAAGTTGTA